CCAGAGGTGCCACTCGCACGGCAATGTACGGGCTCTGCGGATCCGCACAGTGGGACGCGTCGCCGACAAAGCACAAGCGCCCATTGGAGATGCCTCGGTCGTTGAGGTTGCTGCTGAACCGCATGCACGCGCCGTCCCACACCGTGAGCTGATCGGGCTCACTGACCTTCTTCGCAATGCGCTGGACCAACCGTCGATTGCGCGTCGGCTGCCACCTACATAACACCACCATCACACCAACAAAACCATGGTCACAGACACACAGCGGCATCGACATCATTCAGGCACAAACACAAACACATACCTGCCCGGCATGTTGAATGTCTCATCCACGGCGTGCACGGTGTGCATTGTGACATTGATCGACGTCTGTTGTACGCGCCTGATGTACCGCTGAACGGCCGCCTTCTCCGCCTCCTGCCTGCCAAACACCATGGTCGCGGCGTTCGGGATATCGTCCCAACTGTCCACAAAGTTGCAATTCTGCTCGACGATCTGCCACGCCCTGGCGATATCGGCGGGGGAACTCTGCGGCTTCTCCATGAGACACACGAGCTCGTGGTGCTCCCGGTTGAGGTAGCGGATGCTCTCCTCGAAGAGGGCCACGCGGAATGACGTGATGAGAAGGGTGGACGACCAGAAGGTGTCCCCATTCAGCTGCGCCAGCTGAGGAACCGCCCCACTGGCCATCACAACCGCACCACCGAACGGCACCTGGTTGTTTAGGGATTACTCGCAAGACGATGTCCATGGCGGCGATAGTCTGGGCACTCAGCAACCCCACTTCCTCAATGAATAAGCAGTGGGTCACCTGAAGCAGGGCCCACCGACCAGGCGCTTGGCTGAGGGAGCTGACGGCAGCCTTGGCCTGGATGTGCGGCGGCTGCTTCTCGTGGCGCGGTTCAAAGTTGAACAGCTTATGCACGTGGACGCCACCGAACTGCAGCGCCTTCCTGGACTGCAGTGCCGTGTACTCGATCGGATTACTCGCAAGACGATGTCCATGGCGGCGATAGTCTGGGCACTCAGCAACCCCACTTCCTAAATGAAAAAGCAGCGGGTCACCTGAAGCAGGGCCCACCGACCAGGCGCTTGGCTGAGAGAGCTGACGGCAGCCTTGGCCTGGATGTGCGGCGGCTGCTTCTCGTGGCGCGGTTCAAAGTTGAACAGCTTGTGCACGTGGACGCCACCGAACTGCAGCGCCTTC